GTGAGGATTGAGCACAAACTGCAGAGGGAGCTAGCTGCACCGTTATAGGTGGCACAACACTATTGGTGGAGAATAGTCACATGATATGTAGATGTTTAGAAAAGGCATGAAACTGGTGGGGTATAAAGACTGGTGCGCTGATTACTAAAAATTCATTTAGCAATCCTTAGAGGGAAGACAACAATCAAGACTGCTTTTGTGTGAGTAGAGGTAAGTCCATTTTGGAATACCAATAATCTCTAGTTCTTGTTGCTGATAAGTTAACAACAATAACATATTAGAAAAAAAAAACTTTGGTATATATCATTAAGTATTTTATCTTGAAGAAAATATATAGGAATTCACTGTTTAAATGCAATTAAATATCATGGATTTTTAAACTGAACATCAATAAAACACTAAGCCTATATGTATATCATCTCAAAGAAATAAAGGTAATAACTATTTGGATAAGGCTCAACTTAAAATGTGAAACAATGAAAAAAACTGCTCCAGGTTTTCATTAAATAAATTACATTTACATTCACTATGGTAAATTTTGTTTTTTACTTCAAGTTTCATTCTTTCTGTCAGAGGTTTAATTAGAAAACAGAGCATGTATATATATACTATATTAAATTCTGTTCTTTATTAGGAGCTTCCAGAATTTTGTTTCATTTCTCTTGCTTGGTTAAGGTTCCAATAAAATAGCTACAACTAGCAATAAAATTTAAAGCTGTAAATGTCAATTTATTCAATATAAATACCAATATGTTACGAGTCTTAAACAGCAAGAAATCAAAATTTGATAGTTTGCATTCTATCAAAAATAAACATTTCTAGTTCATCATAGAATAATAAATTATGGTTTGTTCAGAATCAAACTAATTTAGTTTGAGACTTAGAGCATTTTCAAACAATAATTCTTAACATATACTAAATCATACCCATGCTACTCTACTATCAGAGTTTGCATAATTATTTATTTGTGACTCCTTCCTCAATCAAAACATCTTTAAATCAAAGCATTCTTGACCTGCATGTGAGTAGTCCACAATTTCTGTTCTGCATCTAAAGAGGTAGTGTATTTTGTGTGTACTGTAATTATCTAACAGAACTTAAAAAATATATACCTACTTTAGTGAAAATTATCTATACAGATATATATCTATTATTATATAAAACTGACATCTAAAAATGTCAGAAAAATGATTTTTCTATTTTAATGAAGCACACATCTATAAAGACATGTACTTTCCTATAAGAAAAATCATTATATACCAATACTACAATATACCAACCATTATCTTTATACCCCATTCCTAGGATGACTTCTGGAGCTCTATAATACCGTGTCACAACATAAGGTGTCATCATAAAAGTAGTTCCTGCTGTTCTAGCTAAACCAAAGTCCAAAATCTTCAGAGTACAGTCAGATTTCACTACTATGTTGCTAGGTTTCAGATCCTACGAGACAAAAAAATTGTATGAAAACTATGTACTTCTGTAAATGCTAAGATCTAATTTACCAATATTAAAAAATTACTCAAAATTGTTTTTAGCAGATACTAAATGTATGTAAATCCTGTTAAAGCAGGTATATTAAAAGAAATTATATCAGAATACCACAACATGGACTGACACAGTTTTACATCATCTTACTGATCATATTCATTTTACAAAACACTAGGTTCTAATGTAAAATCTACTTACTTATATTTCAATCCTAAGAATGAAAACAAATATAAAGGTTTTTCAATGTATTCCTTTGTGGTTAGCTGTTTTTAAAGTTTAGCAAACAGAGATTGATTTCTGTGAAACTTTGGTACTTCTTTATTCTAATGACTTAAACTCATTAGTTTACTTTGTTTTTTAGGATACTATATACTCATTGCATGTTTACTCATCACAAACAGAACTATTTTGGACTGACAAATCATGCATCTTTTAATTTGCACATAAAGATCCAAAAGAAAAACAGCTCTTTTTTTCTTTTCTATGGTTTACAACTTTACTGAGTAAAATATGGACATGGCAAACTTCTTGAAGGTTGTCAATGATTATGTTTAATATTTAATACAGCTGACTACACTACAATTGCAGAAAAAAACCTTAATGCTCTGAACTTTAAGAAATGAAGCAGCAAATGTTAGCACAATTATAAATGTTATTAATTACCATAAGTACCAAGTCAGAAGGGGCAAAAGGCATTTGACCTGGGAATATTTATTTTAAGGAATATAGCCCCCCCCCCCCACACACACACAGAGATAAATCCTACAATATGTGCATGCACAATGCTATTGTACTGATCTAATAACTGTTTTATCATTACTATCCCAACAACTTCTGCAAATTGGTGTAATAATGTAATTAGCATGGGCATATGATTTGAATGGTAACATGGTAGTAAAAAAACATTGTAAATTGAACTGTCAGAAGTCTTGATATTAGTTTCTATCTATTGTGTGTCCTCTTCAATCTCATGGAAAACTGGTCCTAAACACCTAGATGATCTTGGAACTTCAAATTCTCTTGATGAAACAGAAGGTTAGGAAACAGTTTAGCTTAACATGACCTCAGGAGATGTTGAAATTAGGCATGCTTTTGATTAACCCTATGATTTCTGGCTATTTACATTGTAGTAGTTAACATCACTCTTGTCATATTATGTTCCAAAAATAAAACAAGTGGATGAAATTATTTGAAATTTGACAAGAGCTTTCCTAAAAGTAAATAGTTTCAGAAAAATATTTAATTTTGATTTTTTCTACTATTTCTAACAAAAATTTGTTATTAATGTTATTTGCATTCGGACTCTGAATAGTTCACCTGCTAGGTGATTTTTGTGGTAAGTATAAAAATACTATTTTCATCTTACAGTTCTCACATTTCACTTGCATAATCTCTAGAATTTCTGAAATGAATATCAAAATTTTTCTGTTAACTCTCTCAACACAAGCTCAGTCAATTTGATCGACTAAGTGACCTCTTTGTACTAATTTAAATTCTTTATAGATTTAACACTTCTAACTTTCAGCATAGTGTGTAAATCTCCAAAAACTTTCTGAGTCTTTCAGTTAATATTATGTCATTCACATACAAAAAATCATATTTTGTAGCGAAGAATTTTTAATAAAATAAAGATTTATCCATGAATATATTGAGTATTTATTTTGAATAGTCCATGTACAAAGTAATTTTCATGCTAAAAATAAAAATACTTTTTCCTCAACACAAAAATCTCAAATTTCCTTTGTGTAATCCCTAAAACCTCCTAAATGCATTTCAAATGTTTTTTCAGTAAAACTTTATAGTTTATCTATGTTATTTTCTCTACCCTATCACAAAACAGGGTCAGTCAATTCGACCAACCTCGTAATCACCAAAATAAAAATCGAAATAAATCTGAATTACCCTTTTTCTTTCTAGAATGACTTCACATTGTAACATGAAACTACATTTGTTTATCCTAAGTAGCGCTAAGTTCCTAACAGTATACATCTATTTATAATTAAATTTTATTGATTTATTGCCCTCTGAACCATTTGTTACTATTATCAGTGCCAATATAAGTTGTAAATCACTAGAGAAATGTGCAGCTTGTGTTACGCTAACGAATTACATTACCCACGAGCTGCTCATGCATGTTTCTCGTGAAACATTTTTATTATAATAATATGATTTATTTTACCTAATCTAATCTTAATTAACCTAAAAGCATCCTTCTTTTTACCTTTTAGTTACTTTTATAATTATACATAAAGAATAAACAAGAAATAAAATCCTGAACTAATCTTCTTTTTTCTTGCTGTCGATTATCTAAGAGAGTTAACCCTAATTGTTTTATACTAATTGTAGTAATGCACTTAATAATTTTTATTTAATTACATAATGTACCAAAGAATATAGACTAATAACATGCAAAAAGTAGACAAATTCACTTACCTTCTAAAAATTTTCCTGGCTTTCTAACTATGCAACAAGAGCCGTTAGAAATTCATCCAAGCTAGTCGTTAACTTTCCCATGGGAATGATATTGCTACTCAGAGTGACATTGACGGTTATCTGTTCAAAACACAATGTTATACAATACACAATTTGATAGATGAAAACCTTGACTTTCTATTGGTTATAGGTAACATATAATGAAATGTAAGAGAGAACTATCAATTAATTGTGAAAAAGAGGATGTGACAGGTGTGTGTGGCAGGAGGAGTCTGATTTTCTCTTTGATAGCTTTATAACAAAAGAAAATTGAAGGCCATAAAAATCATGGTCTGTTTGAGCAATAACAATTTTATAGAGAACTATAAGCAAGATATAACCAGAGATAGAGCAACTACATATTTCTTCATATTTAGTTTCTGATGACCTGTAAAGAAGAAAATCCAGATGACTCTTGTATTACTAGAGCACTCTCCGATTAATATGACATTATTTACAAATTTACATGACTTACTGATCTTCCCAGTATCAGCATCATTAATGAAAATTGTGAAAATGAGAGCTAGCATAGAACCCTGAGGTACACTGCTTGTTTTAACATGAATCCAATGTATATTCACACCATTATAACAACTATGTTCCTTCTACTGCCCTATCAATTCTCAAGCCATTTAACTAGCTATATCCTGCCCAAACAGACACAATTTTCCTAAGAATTCTCTTGTGTGGCATCTTAAAAGGTTCTGAAAATCTAAGAACACATATCCACTGCATTACTCATGTCCAGTTTAAATGTAACATTTTCAAAGAAAGTTGGCAACTTTGGAAGACATAATCCTTTTTTTTTGATAATATGAAGCTTGTCTAAGCACTCTTATAAAAGTTCTTTAATTATTAACTCTATTAATTTCTCAACTATTGAAGTAAGACTAACCAGTAATTAATTAGCACTTCACTCATGAACAGTGAGTAATCTGTATTAGGAAGCTTATTAATAATTGTTTGTACATTTTAAGTTGTGATTTTAAATTTGTGTCCTTTTACCATAAAAGTAGTCTTGTGTGCAATTTTAGGTGATAAATCTGAGGTACTTGATGTTGAAAATCCAGACCTTGAGAAATATCCAGAGTTTATCAAGGCCACTAAGTACACCTGTACTCTGGACTCTGGAGATATTCTTTTTATTCCAGGTAAAATAAACATTAGATAGTTAAATATGGTTAAAAAAGTTGACAGTCAGATAAATTTGAGAAAAATCCAAACTGTCCAGTTGTTATATATACACACAATTTGTTAAGGATTTTATTTAATGATGAAGAATAAAATATCAATTCCTAATTCTCTTTCAATCAAAGTCATTAATTGTATACAAAGAAACATTTATTTTTACCATATTGGTTTTATAGCTTTTCTGGTTCATCTTCAGTGGAAAATTTTATACTAACACAAAGTTAATTGTATTCTAAAACCAAGAAGTACTTGTTCAGTCTGTATATTTCAAATAAAGAAATATATATATATATTCCAACTAAAACATTAAAAAGCTCTTAGAAGTTTTGAAGTTCAAAAAGCAGAAAAAAAATTTACTTTCAAAAGAAACTGTCTATGCCCAAAGAAAAACTAAAAAATAAATATGACACATAAGATAGAATACAGTTTTTATTACTTTCTTTATCTGGTAAGGATCACATATTGCATCATATTGAGTAACTGTATGTGTATGTTTTTGCCCCTCACAACACTCAGAGTAAAGAAGTGACCACAAAATTAGGTGAAATCACTCATTTTCTATGTAGAATACGTGGGGAATCCCAGCAGTAATTGGTGGGATTAATTGTAATACTGGTAGTATTTTTTACATTTTTTGTGGGACTCGTGTCTTATTAGGAAATTTGTAACAAATAGTAATTGGCCCACAAGTAACTTGATGCATAATGTTTAGAAAAATTTATATAGTATAAAAATACTATATTGTTAACCCATTTCACTGAGGCTGCCACGTATACAAGTCAGTATATTTTTATAATATACTGCGACAGCACTGTATATGGACTGATTTGACATTGTAGGGGTACTGACAAGAAAAAAACAAAAAATGATTAACCCTTTGTTTGGTAATGATGCTTGGGTAAATGGAGAATGCCTTAACTTTCATAAATACCCCCCTACCAGTTCACACAGAAAATTTTGAAATGAAATCCCAAATACAGCACAACTGCAGTCTACAGAGGAAAAAGTCTGACCTGCATACATGACAGCTGCAGTGAATGTGTTAACTGTACATCACTTGTACATTTTCATTCTTTCAAGACATTTACCTGTGGAATTAAAAATGTTTAACATATATTTAAGGAATACTATTATTTTTCATAACACATCTGTGAGGAATCATGTAATGTTTTAGCTAAAATTATGATAATTATGAATTTTATTTTGGCTAAAGGCAGAACAGAGATTTAGAATTAATATTTATTTATGCAGTAGAATGAATAAATTAGGTTTATTTGAGACATCAAATGTCAGCAAATTTTTATTACATAACTTAAAAAAATGGCTACAATGGAATAAAACAGAAGATGCTGTAAAAATATAGATTAGTCAATGGAAATAAAGAGGAAGATTTAGTGTACTTTCAAATAGATGTTAAGCAGTAATTCAAATATCATGCAATAATTGGCTTATCTTCAACCTTGTGTTCTGTGTGTTTAACTGTTTCTACATGTTATATAGTAAGTAAAGGTTAATTTTCATTCACATTAGTTAAACTTTTAAAATTGGTAATAAAAATATAAGCCTTATAATATGCTCTGTAAAAGGTTTCATGAAATAACAACTGTAAAATCCCTTCCATGCCATACTCACAGAATAAATTAATATAAGAATCATTGAAGAGACAAAGAGAACTGTTGTACATTTTCTTTCCTAAAAGTGTTCTAATAAATACATATTTATTCTATTGTACAACAAGCAAGCAAATGTTTTCACTCCCAATGACTAAATTTCATAGAATTAAGTTATGATCAAAGAATTTGATTACCATAACAACAGTGTCACCACTTACCATGCAATTACAAAAGCTCTAGGTTAATGCCACCACAGCTGATTGGGTTTATTATTTATCTACATTATATAAGATGGTTTCTAGCAGCAGTAACATGCAATTTCTATGTAGACAAGAATGAATTTATGTTTAACATGTATGAATTTTGTTATGCATCAACAACCAGATGACACCATTGGCTATGGAACAATTACTATTTTTTGTGAAGGTAATAATGTATAATACCCTCTAATTAGATTTAACAGTTTAGGTTGTTCTAAATAACATTTATTAGAGATTTTAATACAGTACATTATTTATTATGTATTTGATGTTTTAAAACAACTATCAAACGTTTTATTTTCCCTATAAAAACTTTGAAAACACCTAAATTCAGTAGCTATAAGAATGTATTCCATTTTCTTTTGAAAAGACACACCTTAGATTTGTCTTAAATAAACAATACATACTTTTTTATGGGAAACTTACAGAGACAAGTCTTTCAATGTAAGTTATAAAAAATTATCAAACAACCAGCATATAAAATGTTAGTGTTGAATTTGTTTATTCTGTACTGTCCTTTTGTGTGTATCATAGCTCTTTGGCTACACAATATGACCTCCCTTGAGTTTGGTGTAGCAGTAAATGTCTTTTGGCGTCACCTGGAAGAGAATATGTATGACAAGAAAGATCCATATGGAAACAAGGATCCCCATCCTGCTGCTACTGCACTTACATTCTTGGAGAAAGCTTTAAAGACATTAAAACAGTTGCCTGATGACTACAGAACATTTTACAGCAAGCGCATGATATCCAGAATTCAAGACACTATATCATGATATTCTATTAAAGTTTTAATCTTTTAAGAAATTAAAGATCTTACAACATTAAATTATTTATAAGAATCTATTGTAACATTCTCTTTAATTGTTTGTTGTCCCCATGGTAGGGCAGCAAAAAGTTCATGGACTTGCAGTGTTAAAATCTGGGGTTTGATTCCTGCAGTAGACACAGCAGATAGCCCAGTACAGGAATATATGTATTGCAGTTCTCAGCATAAATTTATACGTATATTTAGTTTAACTTGATTTGTTAACTTGAATTTATTCTTTGAGAAAAAACTAAATATTGTGTATGTAGATTTGAATGTACCATTTCTTTCTTTTCTTGTTATACAATTGATTATTTTAATGTATTTTCACTTTTCTAGAAATGATGGCAAGTTCCAAATGAGATTTGAATATTAAAGAAACAATACCCTTCCATGGTTTCTGTGTTATCTTTTATTATAATTGATTCATGAGTAAGCAGCTAATAATCAGTAGGGGAATTGCTTTTTCAATATTGATACACCTAAAGAATCATTACAATGATGCAGATGCTAGAGATCTCCACCAGTAGGAAGACGATTCATTTTTCATCTTCATGTGCAATAATTCCCATGAACACAAGCATTTGAACATAAGCTCATTCTTTCCTCAGCACTGTTTGCCTTAAATTTTTTTCCCCCCTTTAAGATTTACTGGAATTTTTGTGTTTATTGTTTTAACCTTTCATTATTATTTCCTTCCATAATTTTCTTGTTAATATGAAATAATGATGCTAGTTTTTAAACTTATCATGTACAACTTTCAATCAAGTTATCTTCAGTTTGATTTTTAATAGACTTTGCACTTTTGGGATATGTTTTGTTGTTTAATCCAACATAAGAGTTTTGTCCAGTACTGTTCAAGGTCATCATTAGACCTATGCAAAGTCAATATACCTGACTTATTTTCTTTCCAACTAATAACAAGAATATGTAAAGAAAAATAAGAACCACCACAACATCAGTTTTGTGGATTAACCAGATTATACATTCATGTTCCCATGTTTCTGACATTTCCCAAGGTTTTTTTAACACTCCTTCACAAGAGTCGTCTAATACTGTAATGACAACTGGAGACACACTGATTGTCGTGGATATTACTGCTATTATGCACCACATAGTTGGTTCCATTCTGATCTTGGGTCCAGGATTCCTGAGCCTGCCCCATCTTGTAAGTGTTTCACCACTGTTGTTTTCATTGCCTGTTTTTTCTTCCAGTTCCCTCTTCACGACAAGGATCAGGTATTCTCATTTTTGCCCTTCACTGCTTGGATTTTACAGATATGTCTTTTGTTTTCTCTTTCTCCAGTAATTTTTTTCTGAATATCATTCTCCCTCACTGCATGATCCTCTTTCAGCTTGGGATCTCCTCTTTTTCCTTCCTTCTCTTTCTCTCGATCTACTTGTCTTCATCTCTTACCCAACTTCTTTCTTCATTCTTATGCTTCAACTTCATTTGGAGGCTTTCCATTATGACCCTATCATCTTTACTGGGGCAATTTCCACATACCTGTCTTTCACCTTGCCCTCAGTTTTCTTCCATTTACTTTGGTTTTTTTGTTTCTGGGATGCACTTGGTCAAGTTACCATACTTCCTGCTTTTGACTCCCTCAATTTACTTTGCAGGACCTCTGTCTTGCACCTTTGTGGTGTGTTTTTTTACTGTTATTTTATATACATTGGCACCTTGAGCTCTTCAGCAATCATCTCTTCTCAACTTGGTTTTTGCCCTGAATAAAGTCTCAAAGCAATTTCTTTCTGGAGCCACTTCTTTGTTTTTCTGGTCCAGTGGGAGCTCTGCTCTCCCATTTTGTCCAGTGGTGGACTCCCTAGCTGCAGCCTATTGAGTTTTTCAGATACTTTCTCAGAAATCTTTCCTGTACATCTACTCCTCACCTCACCTGTTTCAAATGTCATCAAAGAATTCCTCAACCCCATATTGGGGCTTTAATTCTGTCTTTTTATTGTTCCCTTGAATATGGGAGGTTGGCATCCAGAGACCAACCTGTCCCTCTTGATCCAGCTTTGGTCTTTTCTCAGTTCCCAATGGGCAATTTTTTTTTACTCTCTTAGATACTTTATATCTTGATTTGTCTGCCAACATTTTGCTTTTTTTGGTTTGTTCACAATGGTCAAACATGTGGTTCTCAATCCTTCCCTTTGAGTTGGCTATGACCCCATCTTTTGTCATTGAATCTGGTGGGTTTTTATTTAGAGGTTACATTCTTGAAGCCTATTGTAACATTACCCTCTAGTTGTTTGGACTCTACTTGCCTCTTCTAATGTGGCTTCCTCTGTTGCTACCTCCCTTTTTCCTTCAGAAATAATTTTGTTTGGGATGGCTGTTTTGGTTTTCCATTTCAGCTTCAACCCCTACCCTGTATTTTATTCACCTGCGGGTCTTTCTTACTTCCTGGCAAGCTTAGTCTCCTCCTTTATCTTTGTGACATGGAGCTTTTGATACCAGGACTCTTTTATCTCCTTCATTTCCTGCATTAGTCTTTTTTGGGTACTCTTTTCTTTTGAGTTCCTTGTTCTGCTTGTATGTGTCCCATTAAGTGATTTGTAGCCTGTCAGTGCAGGTATCTTCAGAGAAACAATGTCTTCTTTTCACTTTTTCCAAGTTATGGTAGCTCACTTGATCCTACATAACCCTGAACGTTCTTCTTACTCTGACTTGCATCTGTTTTCTGTTCGAAGCTCTCCAAAACTCCGAAGCCAGCCTTTGAGCTCTTACTTACATATATGGGCTTCCGTATCTGTGTTTGAAGGGAACCAAACCCACAACCACACCTTTCTACTGCCTCTGTTCTGGTGGGGTACACTACTGGATGTCTAATCCATTTGTAGTATCTGGTCTTCAGGTATCTTCAGAGAAACATTGTCTTCTTTTCACTTTTTTGCAGTTATGGTAGCTCACTCGATCCTACATAACCCTGAATGTTCTTCTTACTCTGACTTGCATCTGTTTTCTGTTCAAAGCTCTCCAAAACTCAGAAGCCACCCTGTGAACTCTTGCTTACATATATGGGTTTCCATATCTGTGTTTGAAGGCAAGCAAATCCACAACCACACCTTTCTACTGCCTCTGTTCTGGTGGGGTACACTACTAGATGTCTAATCCATTTCTAGTATCTGGTCTTCAGGGCTAAGGTTTCTCTGTCTACAAATTCTAGCTGGTGGCTACTGTGTAGACTGTCCTTTATGTTCTGTCTCATCTGTATGGTCTTCCTATTGTCATCCATTCAGACATTTCCTTTGTTGTTTCTTCCTTCCCCCAACAGGAAGCCATTCCTGCTTAAGACTTCTGTTTTTCTGTCTCTGGACTTTCTGTTTTGAGCCTACAACCATGTTGAGCTGTCAACCTATCTTGTCTTAAAAGCTCAGCCCCAGGTGACATATCAACTATCTCATCTAGGCCTGGACCCTTCCCATATAATGGTATCTTCATCCTCTGATGTTTTCAGTGGAGTTATTTCTACTGTGACCATCCTACTATAACTGCCTTTCCACCTCTCCTCCACTCCTTGCTTTCTCTCATTTGGTATCCAATCCTAGAGCCTACAGCTCTGGCAGGGGATGCTCTCTATCTGGTATTATTCAACATCTGTCTATATGTTTTGGACATATTTCTCACCTTCTCTCTTGCAAGAGTCATCATTCACTTTTGTCTTGACTCCTCCCTTGCTATTTATCACAAGGACAGGTTCATCTTCTTCCCTGATCACCCCAAAATTTGTGTGGTTTGACAGGTTGATTGAATGTTTTCCCATGCATCCTCCATTCCTTTTCTTCCCTGTACGATCATTCAAACCCAAATTGTCTCCTTTGTTCTGTAGAGTCTATTCATTATTATTTCACTTGTATTGCCCCTTTTTAGGGCACTTGCTAATGCCATTTCTTCAATTTCTCTTCCTCTCGTAGCTTATCTACATTCACTTTACCTGGTTGAGCTACACAAGCTACCTGGCTAGTTACTTCTATGGGTGATGACCCTTTTTGAAATTTTCATGTTCCCTCCCATTATGTTTGTCATCTCATTTCTTCTTTTACCTCTAGCATCAAAATCCCCTTGAGTAAGGAAACACATTATACTAATATGATAATAGGTAGGCAAACAATGAGTTATAAGCATAAGGAAGAGTTTTTAATGATGGTGGAATATACTACATGTTTCAACAAACATTTGTACATCTTCTTCAGGTATGATCTGTACTGAGCAGTACAGGATTTATATAAATTACAAAGACAAAAGGTAAAGATTAAATGTGACAAATGTCAGCAGGTTACAAGATTCTTGGTAAGAATCAAGTCTGATCAAGTGTATGAGCAGAGAATAGACCTTGTCATGTATGGTTGATGTTTCTAGGGCCATTATCATGGTTTAGTGAGAGATTCTTTGCTTTGATGATTTTTGTAGTTTCTAAACAGTCTCCTCCTTTTTTAATCTTGGTTGGTGTAGGGGAAGAATTTCACCTCAAAGTATTTTGTAACCTGATTCAAATTGATGATATGTTAAAACAGATATCCAGAATTCACCTATAGACATGTGACCTTGGTTGTCATTGCATCTTATTTCTAAGGGGCATGATGTTTGTCCTGTGTGTATATCATTCCACATTCACGTGGGAAACTATATATGCCTTGCTTTTGTTCCTTTAGTAGGGATCCTTTAGGGTTAGGTACTAAGATGTTAATCTTATGTGAAGGTTGAATACAGTTTTTACATCAGTGCTCAAATTATTAGATAGGCTAGTAATTTCTATCATAAAAGGGAATGAAACAAATTTGCTGTGTTTTATGTTGTTGATAGGTGAAAGGTTAGAGATAACATAATTGTTTTACAATTTTCAAATCTAATAACAGCCCTATCTATGAAATTGGGTAATCCTAACATCATAGATAGGGCTTTTATTAGATTTGAAAACTGTAAAAAAAGTATGTTATCTCTAACCTTTCACCTATCAAACCTCTAGATAGTGCTATATTCTTTAAGTAGTTCAATTTAATTAGTAAGTCATTTTTGTGGGTGCACAGTTGTATAGCATGAATTGCATAGGTGAAGTAGGAGGATATTTTCTGTAACAGGCATTGATTGGACTTTATGTGTCACAGCATGTGACTCCCTCTACACTCCTCTACTGAACCTTCATTTCTAGTTTGGCATCTTTCGAGTACAGACTTTTGCTTTTGTGCTTTGCAGGTGACATATTTTTGTTTGAAGTGTTTTTTTTCGTTATACATGACCATATTTCTCCAAGTTTATTATTATCACTTCTCTGCACTAGACAGTTTTGTACAGTTTTTGTGAGTTATGAATTCTGAAGTCAACGTTACCACTTCAAGGGATCACATCGATGACTAATCTTCTATCTCGGGCTTCAAGTGCTGGTGA